GGTAAAATAACAGTTTTATTTGAATCATCGTTGACATTTTTTCTCCGAAAAGACAAAATTACATCCTCTGATACTTTTGTTTTTTTGTGTTCGTCAGCCAACTACAACGATTGCGTCGTCACTGTCACCAAGTCCATCTTCCTTCACAAGCCTTCGGACTGGTACAAAAAGACTCCAGTAGCCGTCGTGGGATTCCAGTTCAAGCATTCTTACTTTTCCGAAATATTCATGAACTTCACCAGGAAGGTCAGTTGCTTGACGAATACTACATATTACTATATAGTATAAGTACACTGGTGCTGGCCTCGAGATGCGGACGTTTTTGGTGTTTCGACCTCGTCCCTCTATATGTCTGATCGTCATCCGCATGTCGGATTATATTTTTCCTCAAGACTTTCATGGGAAAATACTGTAATCCATTTGTTTTCCTTTCTTTAAACAAAAATTATGAAAAAGTCCCCCAAAATGAACAAATTAATTAAGTTTTCTCAAATTCGAGGCATAAAAAATAATTTTGCAGGGGAAAAATCCAACCGTGATCTGATCTTTCGGCACCAAAAGGAGCACAAGAACAAAGCTGTCGATACTATGTGCACCAATGATGAAAAGAAACTCAGAAAAAAGCATAAAATTATCCGCTTATTTTTGCGATATATTACCGTAAATTTATTTAAAGAAATGAATTTTCGATTTTTCCAAACATTACGGAAGTGTAGTATTAGTTCAAGTGTTATACACTAGAGATATCCAAATTTTGAAAAATATAGGACAAATGAAATCTTTATATATACTATGCATTAATGAGGAAGAAATACTCTGAAAAAAGAAGAATAAAATTAGCCTGTTTTCGAGATGAATTGGAGTAAATTTATTTATTTTTCTGCATTTTCGGTCCTTCTGAACTTCGGTGCCTCAAGGTATACAAGAGATATCCAAATTTTGAAAAATCAAACTTTCCCCTTTTTTGTCTAGGATAATTAATGTTTCAAGTCATTATCTTGAGACATTAATTGCCCATCAAATGTTGCGGCAGAGATTTTGCTCTTCAAGTGTCCCTAAGTCGAATCGGGGTCCCACATTGTCCATTATTGTATGCTGCTGTATCTGTTCAAATTTTTAAAAATAGTACAGTGAGACCCCCAGATGCGGACTTAATTGGTGCATCAAGAGTGTCCCTATGTCTGATTGTCCCCAAGTCGAATCTTGTTTTCCCATAGACTTACATGGTATAATTTTTAATTGGTGTTTTATGGGAGAAATGTTCTTCAGAATTTAATTTTTAAAAAATTTGCCGCTCGAATTTGATTCAATGAATATCTTTTCCAACCAATAAGAACATTTGGAACATTGAATAGTGTACCTCTGTACAGTAACTTGAAAAGTTGGCATCTGTAAGAATAACATTAAAGTCACAAAGGGAGAAGGAAGTCCCTCTATTCTAAAGGTAATTTTTTAAATTATAGCTTAAAATGGATGGGAAACTTATGGGAGAAATAATGAAGAAGATTTTTCTTGCATATATTTTAGGGTCAGGAATACTGTATGTTTTTCTTGCAGTACAGCCTGATAAAAGTCTTTCTTCCTGAAATTTAATACAATGTCCCCATGTCCAGTCAGTGTTTGCATGTTGGGCCTTTATTGTGCGTCTTTTTTTTAAAGGGAAGATACATGTCCCTATATGTTGACTTGTCCAGATTTAGAGGTGTGTCCACATGTGGGGGTCTCACTGCATATACAGTAATAATTTTTGTTATTGCTCCCCACCTCCAGGCCAGACGTTCCAGACAGCTGTTGAAAGTCTTCTTTCCTGAAATTCTAATGGCAATTCTATCATACAATGTACCCATGTCCAGTCAGTGTCAGCATGTTGGGCCTTTATTGTGCGTCTTTTTTTTTTTTTTTAAGTTAAGATAAATGCCCCTATGTAGAATTGTCCGGATGGTGAGGTGTGAGGGTATCTGTGCATATATACTGTACAGTATTTTTTTTGTTTTTGCTCCCCACCTCCAGGCCAGACGTTCCAGACAGCTGTTGGCAGCGTTCCAGCTGAAGCTGGAGGAGAAGGAGATGGAGCTGCGGACGGCGCGGCTGGTTGTGGACCGGCAGATGCGGGACGTCACCACGAACCTGCTGCAGGTGGAGGCCAATTTGCGGCGGGAGAAGCGCCTGGTGCTCGAGCTGCTGGCCGAACGAGACCAGCTCATCAGGGACCAACGGTGATTCTTTCTCTGCCTTAGAACAACACACGTTTTTGTATTAAATGTGCCGTATATATATATATATATATACGGGCTGCTTCAAAAGTTTGGAGACTTTTTTCTTTCATAGAGATCCTACGCAGTTTCAACAAATGCCAGGTATAAATAAATATTTAAATAAATAAATAAATATTTAAATAAATAAATAAATAAATAAATAAATATACATATATATATAATAGATGGATAGAACAGTATATATAATAGAACGTTGAATGTTGTAATTGATCGGGCATATTTTTAAATAAATATATAAATATATATGTGAATGTTCATTTTTGGGAACATCCAGAATTCAGAGGGTGCCCGATCAATTACAACATTCAACGTTCTATTTCTATTGAATTAAATGAAGATCTGTATGAAATATACAGTATTTTTTTTCTTTTGGGCGTAAATACATATTCCAAGACTCCCTGGGATAAGAATCTTTCACATGCATGTGTTTAGATTTTAGAGCACTTATATTCTTTGCTTTATTATTTTTATAATTGCCAAATGTTTTTTTTTTTCTTGCAAGACATTATTTCGGTGCCCACGAGTGAACTTGAAATTGGAGAAATAGATAAAATATGTTCAATTGTCAGAGTTAAATGTGTTGAAAAAACGCGCGTAAGTTTCAAGCTTTGCTTTCTTCGAATTAAATTACAGAACTTACTGCAGTATGTGTTTTTGGAATGTTGAAAACTATTCCACATCTCACTGGAATATCGAACTGTCGAACGTAATTGATCATAAATTGAGTATAGGTTTTTTTATTTTTCTATTTTTTTTTATTGATGAGGACGTAGTTCTGGAGAACTTGAAGTTGAGTGGAGAGAAAATACCTGCACGTTTATTGGCAAGGAGTGATGTGATGAAAAAAAAACACACTTGAAGCTTTATTTTTGAAGAAAAAAAAATCAAGTGGTATGTTTTAAAATATCGCGAGACTCGCCGTGGGTATGAGAATCCTTTCCAACTCTCTTGATTAGAAATTGAGCCTTGGTTTGTTTTTCTGCAACATCTTAGATTTCGATCAATCTTACTCTTTATCTATACCGTATACTTTACTCCCAACTCTACTTTCCTTCAAGAGAAAAAAAATCATGTTACCAAGAAGAGAATTGCAGTAGGAAATATAGTGAGACTTGAAGTACGATACAGTACTGGACAATTCTGCAGTTCGTCGAACCATAAATAATAAAAGGCAACTCTCGGTGGTTTGGAAGGCCGACCTTGTTCCTGACAAAAGCATAGTGATTTAAATTTCGGGCATTGGTATATCGTGAAAATAACATTTATTTATTCATTCTTCCCCTGCTTGTCCACCACCCAGCATGCCCGACAGCGGTATACAGTGAGACCCTCACATGCGGACACCTTGATGTGCAGACAATTCGACATAGGGACACTTATTTTATCATTAAAATGTAATGAAAAAGGCCCAACATGAGGACAATGACTCGACATAGGGATATTTTGTGATACAATTGCAAATAAGTTTCAGGCCAAATTGCAAGAAACAGATATTTCCAACCCTAAAGTTTATGCAAGAAAAGTTCTTGGGCATTTCTCTCACCAATTTCCCATCCATTTAGCCAATTTTAAAAAGTTACCTCCAGGATAGAGGGACTTCCTTCTCTCTTTTTCACTTGAATGTTATTTTTTACAGAGAATGTCAACATTTATATGTACTGTACAGAGGCATCAGTATTCAATGCCCCAAATGTTCATATTGTGTTGAAATATATTGATTGAATCAGTTTAAATTGGGAGCCAGTTTTTATCTTCATGGAATTTAGGTGAGAATTTTGTACGTAAAACACTCATTAAAAATTACGTAATTTAAGTTCAAGGGAAAATTAGACTCAACTTAGGGACAATTTGACTCAGGGACACTCTTGATGCGCCAATTATGTCCGCATCTCGGGTCTCACTGTTTTAAAAATTATTTTTTTCTCACGGTGTAGTGTTCGTGCACTGTATTCAGTATACCCAGATTGGATCCTAGAAATCTTCGATGTAACGCTGCTATTATTTTGTGAAACAGGCAGGTGTCATTAGAATCTTTACAACTTTATTCAACCTGATTCATATCAAGTTTAGCCATCGGAGGGAGATGATACTGCGCTGTACAGGACAATAACGTTCAGGCGACATCTACAGAGACTGAAAACAAATTCGAGATTGAACTGATTGCGTTTGAAATGGGTGGAGATCTATATAGAGGTTCCAGCTTGTGGAACATCTTTTTCCGATGCTCAGTGATTTTACCCAAACAAAGACATCTTGTCAAGTCAATTCATTACTGGAAAGGAACTGGGATAAACGAAATCAATGTGAGAAATATATGCAGCAATTTTTTTTGCGACAGCAGAAAGAAAAACAATGGGTTTTGTCTGATTTTTCAACCACGCAATTTCAGTTTTCAAGATTCGCGAGGAATTAAACCTCAACAAAACATAATTCTGTTTTTGAGAAGTTATATACTGTATTTTCAAGTTTTAAATTTCCTACTTTGGTCGAGTTTTGTCCCGGAATGCTTTGAGTAAGCATATAGGATGACAAATATCCAGATATTGACGGGAATCAAGGCAATTTAAGTTTGAAATTTTCTTCAAAAATAAAGAAATGTATGTGCTTCGTCAATTCATAACCCGAAAGAAACTGCGGTAAACAAAATGAATGAGAAACATTTTATTCAATAATTTGAGGAGTAAAAGTAGAATGAAGAAAGTCTGATTTCTTCTAACCACGGAAATCCAGGATTTATAAATAAAAATCACCAAAAATCCAACTTTGAGAAGCGATAAACTTCTCAGCTTCAAAATCCGACTTTGTTCAATTTTTCCACTGCAAACCGTTTTTCAGTGCTAGTATGAAAAATATCCAGATCTTGACTAAAATTAACGCACTTTGTCTTTGTACAAATTTTTTTTCGAAGATTACTCCAAAATCTCCAGTCCATTCTGTCATCCCAGGTTGATCAATCCAACTGGATTCTTGTAAAAAATAAAGAATACAACTTTTTCGTAAGCCAATTATTAATTTGCGCTGTCGCGCAAAATTTAGTACAGGTCGTGAATTTAATATACGTACTTGGTAAATTGTTTCATTTGTATTTTATTCCATTTTCCAAACCAGGTTCGAAATGGGCCGCCTGAAAGCGCTCAACAAGCAGCTGATGCAAGAGAAACTAAACGGATCCTCGTCAACCACTTCGCCATCATCATCATCATCATCAACAACAATAATGTCCAATGGCTCATCGAGTCCTTCGGAAATTGCGGAATCAGTCATTTCCCGTGATTCCACGAACTTGAGTGCCGCGGCGCCGCATGCAACTCCGACCAAGGCCGCCACTAATGGCGGCATTCAGGCCAATGGCTGCAAACGGTGGCGCAGTGACTCCGACGTCCTCACGCCCAACATGAAGGTGGTTCGTGTTGGGTCCGCTGTGTCCTTTCTGCTCAACAAGAGCGAGTGTTCCGAGAGCCACTCCAGCACNACTGGACAATTCTGCAGTTCGTCGAACCATAAATAATAAAAGGCAACTCTCGGTGGTTTGGAAGGCCGACCTTGTTCCTGACAAAAGCATAGTGATTTAAATTTCGGGCATTGGTATATCGTGAAAATAACATTTATTTATTCATTCTTCCCCTGCTTGTCCACCACCCAGCATGCCCGACAGCGGTATACAGTGAGACCCTCACATGCGGACACCTTGATGTGCAGACAATTCGACATAGGGACACTTATTTTATCATTAAAATGTAATGAAAAAGGCCCAACATGAGGACAATGACTCGACATAGGGATATTTTGTGATACAATTGCAAATAAGTTTCAGGCCAAATTGCAAAAAACAGATATTTCCAACCCTAAAATGTATGCAAGAAAAGCTCTTGGGCATTTCTCTCACCAATTTCCCATCCATTTAGCCAATTTTAAAAAGTTACCTCCAGGATAGAGGGACTTCCTTCTCTCTTTTTCACTTGAATGTTATTTTTTACAGAGAATGCCAACATTTATATGTACTGTACAGAGGCATCAGTATTCAATGCCCCAAATGTTCGTATTGTGTTGAAATATATTGATTGAATCAGTTTAAATTGGGAGCCAGTTTTTATCTTCATGGAATTTAGGTGAGAATTTTGTACATAAAACACTCATTAAAAATTATGTAATGTAAGTTCAAGGGAAAATTAGACTCAACTTAGGGACAATTTGACTCAGGTACACTCTTGATGCGCCAATTATGTCCGCATCTCGGGTCTCACTGTTTTAAAAATTATTTTTTTCTCACGGTGTAGTGTTCGTGCACTGTATTCAGTATACCCAGATTGGATCCTAGAAATCTTCGATGTAACGCTGCTATTCTTTTGTGAAACGTCAGGCAGGTGTCATTAGAATCTTTACAACTTTATGCAACCTGATTCATATCAAGTTTATCCACCGGACGAAAATACTGCGCTGTACAGTAGAAGAACGTTCAGGCGACATCTACAGAGAATGAACACAAATTCGAGATTGAACTGATTGCTTTTGAAATGGATAGAGGTCTATATAGAGGTTCCAGCATGGAATATCTTTTGCCAATGCTCCGTGATTTTACATCAACAAAGAAATCTTGTCATTTGTCACGTCAATTCATTACTGGCAAGGAACTGGGATGAACGAAATTGATGTGAGAAATATATACAGCAATATTTGTTGTGACAGCAGAAAAAAAACAATGGGTTTGGTCTGATTTTGTTCAACCACGCAATTTCAGTCATAAAGAATCGCGAGCAATGAAACCTAAACAAAACACATTCAGTTTTCGAGAAGTTATAGATTTTCAAGTTTTGAATTTCCTACTTCGGTCGAGGTTTGTCCCGGAATGCTTTGAGTAAGCATATAGGATGACAAATATCCAGATATTGACGGGAATCAACTTAATTTGAGTTTGAAATTTTCTTCAAAAATGGAGAAATGTATGTGCTTCGTTAATTCATAACCCGAAAGAAACTGCGGTTAACAAAATGAATGAGAAACATTTTATTCAATCATTTGAGGAGTAAAAGCAGAATGAAAAAAGTCTGATTTCTTCTAACCACGGAAACCCAGGAATTATGAATAAACATCACCAAAAATCCAACTTTGAGAAGCGTTCAACTTTTTCAGTTTTAAAATCCGACTTAGTTCAATTTTTCCACTGCAAATCGTTTTTCAGAGCTAGTATGAAAAATATCCAGATCTGGACTAAAATTAACGCACTCTGACTTTGCAAAATTTTTTTTCGAAGATTACTTTAAAATCTCCAGTCCATTCTGTCATCCCAGGTTGCTCAATTCGACTGGATTCTCCTAAAAAAAATAGAAACAGTTTCGCAAGCCAATTAATATTTTTTGCAGTCGCGCAACATGTAGTACAGTACGTGAATTTATTAAGCAGCAAGCAGCACGTACTTATTCAATTCCTTCATTTGTATTTTATTCCATTTTCCAAACCAGGTTCGAAATGGGCCGCCTGAAAGCGCTCAACAAGCAGCTGATGCAAGAGAAACTAAACGGATCCTCGTCAACCACTTCGCCATCATCATCATCATCATCAACAACAATAATGTCCAATGGCTCATCGAGTCCTTCGGAAATTGCGGAATCAGTCATTTCCCGTGATTCCACGAACTTGAATGCCGCGGCGCCGCATGCAACTCCGACCAAGGCCGCCACTAATGGCGGCATTCAGGCCAATGGCTGCAAACGGTGGCGCAGTGACTCCGACGTCCTCACGCCCAACATGAAGGTGGTTCGTGTTGGGTCCGCTGTGTCCTTTCTGCTCAACAAGAGCGAGTGTTCCGAGAGCCACTCCAGCACTGAGGACTTGAGTTGGTGAGATGATGCAAACTATACATTTACTTCTGTACAGTACAGTACTGTACTGTATTGAGGTCACTGATCAAGTGAGTGTAGTGAGGAGGAAATTGAGACGCAAGGAAGAAAACTACAGTACATTACACGTGAACCTTGATAAGTTGAACCTCCATGAGTCAAAATTCCTCCCTATAAGTCGAATTTTTTAAAAGTCTCAAGACTCAAGGATGAATGACAGCTCAACACACTCTAACAAAAATTGGAAATTGAAAGGGGTTTTTTTATCAATTAATTACAATGGCCTTGATCCAGTACTCTGCTCTGGATGCAAAAATTATTTCTATTGTCCTGGGATTGGCCAGAAAAAAGTCAAGTTGAAGACAATGCTTTAGAGTGTAGACAGCATCTCAGAGGACAAAAGTTCTTGCAGTTTTGCATTTTTTCTGGGGCGCTCTCTGTTTCCACTGGTTTTTGTCCTTGAGTGTTGCTTCCGCCTATTATTTTTCAAACAATAGAATCTGCAATAATTTTGGTCCAAGTTTTGACCCTCCATTTGGAACTTCTAAGCAATTCAATTATTGAGATTTAAACTTTTAAGAAGGTTTGAATTAAAATTTCCCAACAGAAACGACAGAAAGGGCAGAATTTCATTATGTTTTCCGATTATGTACATGCATAATTAATTTTGTTTTTTCCTTGTTTCTCTCTCTCTCAGGCACATAATTAATTTAGATTTTTTTAAATAATCTCTCTCTCTCTCTCTCTTTCTCAGGCAAAAGGGTAAACAAAGGTCTTGGCAGCTTCCAAGTTCTCAAGCCAATTCCTCATCATCGTGTTCAATAGTGAACACCATCAGTCACGTCTTGGACTCGACGTTCTCATCATCATCATCATCACCAGCAGCTGTGTCCAACAACATCAGCAGTCCGCCAAATACCTCATCATCATCATCAACACCAACATCATCATCAGTAGCAGCAGGAGATGGACGAGGGTCTGATCCCAACAGCAACGAAGACTCCAATCGACTTCTCTCGTCATCGTCGTCGTCGTCGTCGTCGTCGTGTTTGCACAGCACTGACTTGATGTCTCCTGATGCTGCCCTGCTCGATGACTCGTTGGACCAGTCCGACAGCGGGTTCTTCAGCTCTTCCGGCCAGAGGACCCCGGAAGCCGGGGTTCCCACGCCACCTCTGCCGGCGAGGAGTCATCATCATCATCATCATCAGAATAACAAGCCGCCGTGGATCCCGCCCAAGCCCGATCACCTGGTGACCAAGTTGAAAGGGATCAAGGCTGGGAAAGAAGCCAAGGTGGCGTCATCTGTCGTCAGTAAGGGGAAGCTCGGTGGAATCTTGAAGAAAACCAGTGTCAGCGAACCCAACCTTTTGTCGTCACGGTGAGGCCCATGATTGTAGAATATTTATTATCATTAATATTATTATTATTATTGCTATTATTTTCTAGTTGAAAGTAGATTTTTTTGGTCTCACATCACTTGCTGGTCCATGAATATTGACTCAAAAAGTCTATTTAAACAAACAGAGGCAAATATTTTAAAAAATAAAGCCAATAATGAGTTGCTGAATTGAATTCATATTCATGCAAAATTAAGCTGGTTTTTTTTCAAGTCACTGTTGAACCTGAAACTTGTGCATCAGTGAAATACAAATTGAGTGCAGGTGTTCCAAGATTCTTATTGCCTGTGACAAAGTTATGTTGCCAAAGTTGAGTCCAAGTGGTACCCTGCAATTTGACCCTAGTCTGTTGCTGGGCTATAGGGTAAAATTGTGAATCAGTCAAATTGCTAGACAATGTCAAATGCAAAGTTCTCCGTGTGCTTTTTGCATCTTTCTGTGGGTTAAGTTGTGGGGCAGAGGAGAAATTGCACATTGAGCTCCTAGCAAATGTGTCTGTCAAATTGCAGTATGGACAACATTTTGGGAGGTTGCATTGTGAGGTACTACCTACTTTACATACCTCATGCTACAATTTTCATCACTAATATTTTCTTGTTGTTATTGGAGAGAGCAAGAAAGTGAATGCACTCACAAAAGTTGTGCATTTGTACATTCTAAAGTGTATTTTCTTTCCCTTCTAATATCCATGTACAGCAGCTTATTTCTTTATTTTCCATTCTGATGTAATGGAATATGTTTCAATGTGGGTGGGTGTAGGAGAGGGTTTGGATGTGGGAACACTGCTTGAAGTTTATAAATGCTGAAAAGCAAAAAATAAAGCTTGCTGATCAATCAATCAATATCTCAAGATTCATTGCTTGGATCAATTTAACTGTGATCACAAGGAAGTTGGAATCACTTTCAATTTTATAATTTGAAAATTGAATGAGGTATGCACTTTGGTATGTTTTGTCGTTTGTGGAAAGTTTTCTTTGGCACAACATGTATTGTTGTTTGTTGTTGCCTATGAAAACTAGTTTCATCATGAAGTTCTTTATAATATCACTTTGTGACTGTTGTATGATTTGTTATCCAGGAAATACTCGAGTTTGTTTCCAAGACCTCTTTTTAAATTGCACCTTACTTCGAGGAAGCAAACAAAGAAGGATCTCCCTCCATATATGGAGCAAAGAAAATAATCGCAATTCGGTTTCTGGGTTACAAACTTTTAAGAAGGTTTGAATTAATAATTTTCAACAGAAACGACATATAGGGCAGAATTTCAATATTATTTTTGATTGTGTACATGCATAATTCATTTAGATTTTTTTGCTCTTCTCTCTCTCTCTCTTTCTCAGGCAAAAGGGTAAACAAAGGTCTTGGCAGCTTCCGAGTTCTCAAGCCAATTCCTCATCATCGTGTTCAATAGTGAACACCATCAGTCACGTCTTGGACTCGACGTTCTCATCATCATCATCATCATCATCACCAGCAGCAGTGTCCAACAACATCAGCAGTCCGCCAAATACCTCATCATCATCATCATCACCAACATCATCATCTGCAGCAGCAGCAGCAGGAGATGGACGAGGGTCTGATCCCAACAGCAACGAAGACACCAATCGCCTTCTCTCGTCATCGTCGTCGTCGTCGTCGTCGTCGTGTTTGCACGCTGACTTGATGTCTCCTGATGCTGCCCTGCTCGACGACTCGTTGGACCAGTCCGACAGCGGGTTCTTCAGCTCTTCCGGCCAGAGGACCCCGGAAGCCGGGGTTCCCACGCCACCTCTGCCGGCGAGGAGTCATCATCATCATCATCATCATCATCCTCAGAATAACAAGCCGCCGTGGATCCCGCCCAAGCCCGATCACCTGGTGACCAAGTTGAAAGGGATCAAGGCTGGGAAAGAAGCCAAGGTGGCGTCATCTGTCGTCAGTAAGGGGAAGCTCGGTGGGATCTTGAAGAAAACCAGTGTCAGCGAACCCAACCTTTTGTCGTCACGGTGAGGCCCATGATTGTAGAATATTTATTATTATCATCATCATTATTATTATTATTGCTATTATTATCTAGTTGAAAGCAAATTTTTTTGGTCTCACATCTCTCGCTGGTCCATGAATATTGACTCAAAAAGTTTATTTAGACAAACAGAGGCGCAGATTCAGAAAAAAAGAAAGCCAATGAGTTCCTGGATTGAAATCATATTCATGCAAAATTAAGCTAGGTATTTTTTTTTCAACTCACTGTTGCACCTGAAACTTGTGCATCAGTGCAATGCAAATTAACTCCAGGTGTCCGAAATTCTTATTGCCCTGCAAGTGGTACCCTGCAATTTGACCCTAGTCTGTTGCTGGGCTATAGGGTAAAATTGTGAATCAGTCAAATTGCTAGACAATGTCAAATGCTAAGTTTTCTGTGAATATTTTGCATCTTTCTGTGGGTAAAATTGTGGGACAGAGGTGAAATTGCACAGTGACCTCCCAGCAAATTTGTCTGTCAAATTGCGGCATGGACACATTTTGGGAGGTTGAATTGTGAGGTACCCCCTACTTGTACAAATATCATGCTAAAATTTTCCTAACTAATATTTTCTTTTTGTTATTGGGAAGGGCAAGAAAGTGGATGCATTTACATCAGTTGTGCAATTGTACATTTTTAGATATATTTTCTTTCTTTTCTAATACCCGTGTACAGCTTATTTATTTATTTTCCATTCTGATGTGATGAATGGGATGAATGTGGGTGGGGGTAGGAGGGGGTTTGGACGTGGGAACACTGCTTGAAGCTTGTAAATTCTGAAAAGCCAAAAATAGAGCTTGCTGATCAATCAATCAATATCTCAAGATCCATAACTGGGATCAATTTCTCCGTGATTGCAAGAAAGTTGAGAAACATCTTCAGCTTCAATTTGAAATCACCTGAAATTTTATAAGATGAAGATTGAATGAGATTTTCACTTTGGTTTGTTGCAATGCAATTTATTTTGTCATTTGTGGAAAGTTTTCTTTGGCACAACGTATATTTGTGTTGCCTAGAAACACTAATTTTATCATGAAGTTCTTTATGATCTCCCTTTGAGATTGGGTGGCATGATTGCTTATTTTCATTATCCCAGTTATACAAAATATATACAGTAGTCTTTGGAGAACATCCAAGCCGAGAGGATACTCCTGCTTTCTTCATATTTAAAGCCATGGAGTGTAAAAATTAGTATATTAAAATTAGTATTGCTTTAAGGCTATCCAATTTCCTCAGCACTCTGATGTTCCTTGCATCTGTTTGTATTTTCAAGCAGTTTAAAATTTGTAACAATTATGACTTTATGGGCTTGACTAATCTTACCTGTCTCCATACAACTTGTCACTGTCTGTTGTGTAGTGGTTAAATCACTTGACTGACTTTTTAAATACATTCTTATCTACATTCTTTCCAGCATTTTAACTTTGGATAAACATGCATGCCAGCAGACAAGTTGACTAGGTTCAGTAAGAATTCGTTTTTCATGTCCCTCTGTCAGACCAAAGCTTAAAGATGTTTGACCTGTAAATGAGTGGGCATGTACGTATATTTAAAACTTGATTTTTTGGGTTTGTTTTGAAGGAACCTTGTGATGAAGGAAGCAGTACCAAAGAGACCCAGCAAGACGAGATTGACTCTGTCCACTTCTAGTGGAAATTTGACAGAGGGGATTGTGCAGGCTAATTTTGAAGAATTCCACTTGGACTTTCCACCGGCTGCCTCACCATCCTCAACATCTTCTTCTGGTTCAGACTACCATTCAACTACCTCAGGTGATTATGGCTTCACATGCAGGAAACTCCTGTTTCACTGAAGTCATTCGGTAAAGTTTAGGATTCAGAAATGATTAATAAACGAATACATTTTCTTTGTATGCAAGCATCATCTGTTTGTTTCAGCATTTATTCAAAAAATTTGGTTCTTGGAAATTTCAAAAAGGATTGGTCCAAAGAAACATAATTGGATTCTAAATTTTTAATTTTCTCTCCACAGTAATTCCATGAAAATAACTTTGAAATTATGGCAATTCTTTACATATTTATCCTGGAAGTACTGTACAGTATTTCAAAGCAGGGTTCTTCAACCTTTTTGGGCCCCCAAACCAAAATATTTCAGTAACTTTTTTTCTGATGATTGGCAAATTTCCCAGATACAGTATTTTCTGTTCACAGGCAAATTTTCATAAAATGTTTGCAGAATAAAAAAAAAGTTTTGCTTGAAAGACTCTGTGGTAAGCATTTAAAAAGTTTCTCTTTTTTTCAAAAATCGAGAATAATTGAAGCAGCTTTAGTGGAATGTCTTTAAAAAAATAAGAAGGTTGGGCTTGAAGAAAGGTTCCTTAGAATGGAAAAATTAAATTTCAGCACGTGAAAATTTGTCTGACGTGTTATTAGGAGAAAAGCCAACTTTCATTTATCATTAGATAATTTCAATTGCCAATGTCTTTCCGAATTACAGGGAAACATGTAACAGACTTTAGTGCTTCTTTTGATAAATTTATCATGCTGCAGAAAATTTCCCTCAGATTGGCAAAGAACTTCTGCAGACTGGCGCTGGTCCATGGACCTCAATGAGTTTGGTAACACTGTCCTAAAACATTTTTTGTCTGTTCCCAATACAATTGCATTCCTATTTACTCAACTAACCTAGAATCTCATAATTATGATGGATTTTTCTCAAATCAGGTTAATTGGGAGTTCATTGTAGCAAGATTTCCTTGTACACAAACTATGTATGATAGCTTAGTTATACAGTGAGACCCTGAGATGCGGATGTAATTGGTGCATCAAGAGTGTTTTCAAGTCAAAATTTCCCTAAGTTGAGTCTCCTTTTCCCTTAGACTTACATTATATAATCTTTAATTGGTGCTTTATGTAGAAAATACTCACCATAATTCCATTACAATAAAAATTGTGTCCCTATTTAAACTGATTCCAATAAATCAATATATTTCAACACAATATGGGAATTTGGGGAATTGAACAGTGATACCTTTGTAGGGTACATAGAAATGTTGGCATTCTCTGTAAAAATAATATCTAAGTGAAAAAGAGAGAAGGAAGTCTCTCTCTGCTGGAAGTAATTTTTTAAAATGAGCTACATGGATGGTAAATGGGTGAGAGAAATGCCCCAGAACTTTTCTTTCTTCAATTTTAGGGTTGGAAATATCTGTTTCTTGTAATTTGGTCTGAAATGTATTTGCAATTTTATAACAAAATAATATCTGTTTCTTGTAATTTGGCCTGAAATGTATTTGCAATTTTAAAACAAAATGTCCCTATGTCGAGTCAGTGTCCTCGTGTCGGGCCTTTTTTTTATTATTTTTTTAGGATGAAATAAGTGTCCATATGTTGAATTGTCCGCAGGTCGAGGAGTCCGCATGTGGGGGTCTCACTGTATATATAGTGTACAGGCAGTACCTCGCAATTCGACCGTCCCGGAATTCGACGTTCGAATTTCCAGGGAGGTTGACTCGCAATTCCACCCTTGCCCCACAATTCGACCTGCTTTGAACATTTTTTCTCGTTTTTGCATTGATATTTTTTTAATTTCACGAAGTGTCTCGCAATTCGACCCTAGTTTGACTACGGATTAGGGTCGAATTGCGAGGTACAACCTGTATACATACACTGTAAATGCAGAGAAAAAAAAAGAACATGGTCTGAAAAAAATCTGCGCTTTTAATACAGTATTCCGTACCGGGTATTGGTGAAAAAATTGCTAATAAACGATGGAACGATTAATAACTCACATTTTCGTCACGGGAAAGACCTCTGATCCGCTTTAATACACAATACCACATTTTCGAAAATAGGAGTAAAAAAACTGAAAGAAGAAATGATTACCTGCCGCTATTCGAAGAAGAAACGATGGTGAAATAAAGCGTAACGGTCTCGGGTATCAATCAGAATCAACACGAGCCGAATGGCTTAAATTCAAATAAAAATGCATACTGATATTCTCGCCGGATCAGCGTACCCAAAACAATTTCCTTCCAAACCAACTCTAAAAACGGTTGGATTAAAGCGTCCGATTGTAACAAAAATAGTCGTTAGGATACACTCGAGATACGGGAATTCATCCGCAACTGACAAGTTGCCTGCGCCAAGTTTGAGAGAAAAACAAATTGCGAACACGAGCTTGCGAAAACGCCTATTTTGTCAGCCTATTTTTTCCCCCCGCACCTTCTTAAAGAACAGGTTCATCTACGAGGGGCCTCTTGAGAAATCACGCTGAAAAGCTCATTCTTGGAAAGCAATATTCCGCTGGCATTTCTGTCGGCGAGAGGGGAGGAGAGAGAAAACTTTGCGTCTCTCTTTTTTTTCTTCATATTTTTTTTCTGGCAAAAATCCAATCAAGAAAAGGCCTCTCACTCTCTTGCGCGGATAATAAAACGCAAGACGAGGAAAGGTATCCAGGAAGAAAATCGCAGTGCGCCGCATTCAAGTCTCGACTTTTTTTTTTTTTTAGCGCTTTTGGCAGTTTCTTTTCATGCGCACATGTCCGGGGGAACACGAGCCAATGCCCGCTTCCCAGACACGGGGGCGTCTGCTTCGATCGAAGCAGCTCTAAAAAGTACATGATTCGTCCTTTACTGCAAAGCAGTACTGTACGATGAAATTAATGTTTCTCTACAGTCTAAAACTCTAAATCTTCTTTTCAGGATATTTTAGTTTATTTCAGCTAATCTCACGCTGCGTAAGGCGTAAACTTCGAATACACATGCTGACTGGAAAACCAACAATGGACGCTTCGACTGTTTGCGGAAGACAAATTTAACAAAACATCCAAATACAGTACTGTACAAAACCTTTTAAAAATGACGAATCTCGTTATAACGAATATCTGATTACAACAAAGTCGTTTACCAGGCTAGGTCCCTGACCAATAGCTGTTACGTTAAAAAGTTCTTTCACAATTATTTTGCGTTACAACGAAGCTAAATATGGGTTTACTGCTTCGAGGAAACGAGATTTTATTATTAGTTTTGAAGTTAAAAGAACTGCATTGCCACGGAAAAAGTATGCACAAAATTTCAACTCGATAGGAAAATTAGAAGTGGGTAAAATTAATTTACAAGATTTGATACGAAACATGCGCACATTTTCGAGATTGATAAGTTGACTTGTAAAAGACTAGAATGCATTTAGCAAACGAGCTAAGAAATGTGTCACGGAATTAAATGTTTTGATCTTAGAAATTCGAGTTCATTCTTTTTTCCCACAGACGTCCAAAAAGGTTCGAACTTTCATCCTCTGGAAATCAATTTTTCGGGCGATTCAAAATTGTAATCAAACATGACAGAATCTCTGAACCTTGAAGTGATGTTGAGAAATGCTGCGGTTGGGCCTTGAACAGTCCGTCCAGAAGCAATTATTCGAGTCGAAAAAAATCAAAACAAGAAATTGAACTCGCGGTTTAAATGTGACTGGAGCAATCACTTCCAAAGGTGTGATAAATAATTGTTGGATTTCTCAATCAATCCGAAAGTACCGAATTTCAACGAAGATTCGCGAACGTCCCTTTTCCGAGACATGGACGAATTGATGTTCGTGACTTCTTCTCTGAAAACTGCAAGAATGCAAATATCACAAATGAATGCTGTAGCTTTTTTTTATTCATGTAGTGTACAATCCAGTAATAAATTTCAGCAGTTCATATTATAGCGACCTAGACCCTTGCACAAGTCTCGCAACTTTCATGGATCACTAATCATCGATACTATTGCTCATCTTTAGCAAAACATATTTCACCGTCGGAATTCGCTTTGGTTCCACTTGGAGTGCTCAGTCAGTGCTTGTTTGCTGCTCGTACACGATCCATGAAACCAAAGCATCAATTATATGAAGTGCGTATTGAAACACGTGGATGAAAACAAGTTCTTCCTCATTTCGAACGATGATGTTTGACGGTGATGATGTATAACAAAGAACAGCCTCGTCATCGCACAAACAACACGGACTACAAAAGCTGAGATCTCCATCCTGGTAAAAGCTTTTGTTCAAACAAATCAACATTGCACTCGAAAAAAGCGTGAGTTCATGCGCAGCAGGCACTGATGAATTTCGTCCGCAGCTTTTAGAGAAAATGAGATCATTGCTTCATCTCGGATGTTTTCCCGCATTTCATTGCTATCCAGTTCTCCAAAACCGAATCACTGATCGATTTTAATGTTTTATCCGAAAACCAGCATCTAGCAGATTCCAACAATTTTAGTAAAGAACTTCATCAATATTCCTTCATGAATTCGAGCATATAATTTAAATTCCGCAGCCATCGTTCCAACAAGAAGATCATCGATCGTCTGCATTTTCATTCAAAAATCATAATAATTTCTTGCCGAATGCAAGATTTTTATTCCACTTCTGAGAAAGATTATCATATTTACGGGACTACAGGTCGGATATGCATTTACATACGAATCACTGGCTGACATTCCGAGGAAAAATTCAATAGTCCGACAAAAATATTTCCGAAGAGAAAAATGTGCCCCAAAAGCGAATAAAAAAGAGTTCAGTTTGGTCCGTAAATTTACCGATAATAAAAATCATAAGCTGAAAAAAATACGATATTGCTCTTGAATACTGTACCAGCCTACAGATTGCTTACTGAAAACAAATGCTTCCTCCTTTCGATAATCGTATTATTCTTCCATACATATAAAAACGACTTTTTCCTTTTTTTCCAATTTTTTTCATCAGCGACAATCTTCCATATTTACTCAAAGGTAGACCTCATTGTCTCAGTTGTACGAATAGCTTAAAGCGGTGGTCGTAGAAAGAATTGCGTTTTAAAGCTGAATAAATACAGCTTCGAAGGCAAACCAAATGAAGAAATACGAATATCTGATGCATCCAGATCTAAGAATACCGTTATGACAAAAACTATCGCTACATTTCGGAACCGCTGAAAAGTAGACAGAATCCTAACTGAAGGAAAATCAAGCGCACGCTACATCATCATTATGGGTTGATGCAAAAAAATAAGCAGGAAACGAGCAGCAGAAGCTGCGGAACTTTGGAAATAACACAAATATAAAAAGAAAAGAATGTGGAAATTAATGTCACTTCGGCCTCATCGCGGAACAGCAGGTGCGGTCAGCCGGCCACGTGATCAATACTCGGCACGACAACGATCACCACGCAACTACCGACTAACGGCGCGTTGGCAGATAAAAATAAACCTCCTCAGCTTCACCAGATTAAAATGAAATAAAATAAAAAAATCCCTGCCCTCGTGGGATAAACGAATGTGGGAGAAAAAATGAGCAATAATAACTCTCCTCGCACGTAATTTATTCACGAACGGAAAGCCGCGAATTTCCGACAGCTGCTCTCATAACGTCAGGTGAGTCCCGAGAAAAAATTATTTTTCCACGTCTTTTCTACCTCGCGATTTTTTTTTTCTTCCTCAGGCCGTCAGTATTGACTCAAAATTATTTTTCTTGTAGGCAAAACGTGAGGCATTCAAAGCGGGTGAGGAAAAAAAAACGAGTTGCCGCAGTTTGGAAGCCTGCGGGCATTTGAATTGTGAATTTCTGCAAATAAACTCAATACTGCATTGACACAGAAAAAATATATTGTTCTACTCCCGCAAATCTGATCCTGATTTAGGATTTCTTCAGTATAATCAACTACACAAGGGGTGTTCGATTTTCGCTCGCTATTCCAGTAAAGCACGTCATTCATTTGAAACTCTTTTTTTTTCGTAATTTTGCCTTCGTTAGACTCGAGCTTGCACCTTTTTTTTATATCCTGAATTTCTAATTTCAACGCATCACTAGAGAGACCCTTTTGGTCAGTTTTTCATACACTTGATTGTACGGAGATCTTACCAAACAAAATGCAAAATATGTTCTGAAATCTTGTGCGGATGAAAGAGGAATCAGTGATGAACTGGTGGCTAATTGCTTTGTTCCCCAAGATGGGTAGGAGGAAAAATTGAAAACAGAAATTGGAGAACAGGAAATGATAGTCAATCGCTTGGAATTGAGATTCATCGGATCATCGAGGTGAAGAAAAGTACTGTACAACCTTTTTCAAGATTGCATCATTTTTGAAGACATGATAGTTTTCGTGTGCAACACCACGTCCTGTGTATCAAGTACTCGTGAATCTACCTCAGATTAACAACAACAAAAACCGATATTGCAGTTCACAGCCATCTCACGATTTGCTTTCAATACTTATTTCACATTCCATCTCATGATACCTGCAAGCTACATTTTAATGGAATTCCGGTGCCAATTTTGATTTCCTGGTCATTTTTTGTTCCCCCAGCTTCACCTTGACAGCATCATTTGCACCTCACATGCACATAGAGGAAGTGTCACGCGTACCACAGATTGAAAAGCCGTTATTTTTTTTACAAATCACGCCAAATTTTTGCGAAATGGACTTTTACTAAGTTCCAAAAGCTATATTCGCGTAAGAGATGCAGTATCTTTGGTTTCTGTAATTTTTTACAATTATCTTCTCCCTTCTTCTAAAAATAGCCCAGTCTGCCAGACACCAGAAGGAAAAACGCATGGTATTTTGTGAGCAATCATTCGCCTCAATGCGGGCATTACAGGCTGTTCTTTCAAGGCCCTTGTCCGAATCGTGATCCATTTACCGAGTGTCATCAAGGAAGAAGTCCCCAAAAAAAATAAAAAAATAATAATAATAATGTCTAGAAGCCGCTCTAACCGAGCAGTCGCGATCGGAATATCAATGAGGTCTTTCTCTGTTGGACCGGACAAGCTGCGCACTTCCTTGACGAGACGACGTCGTGTTCGATCGTGTCACGCATAAAGGGTCGAATCTGGCCATCCACGATCCGAACACCGTCTGTCATCGTTCAGCTGCGGGAAAGAACAGACTCTCGCACACATCCCCCCACTTTCTGTGATGGCTCGACCCGAGGCGAAGTGGTTTCCGATCCTCGCCACTGATACGAATTCAAAATAATCCAGGAAATTACCTCTCTGGAAACAGAACTTAAGACCGTGCAATCGTCTTTTGTTCGTCGACCGAAGCACATGATCACGCTGATCTTTTTTTTTCTTAAGAAAAGAAGAATAAAAAATATAAAGGGATTCGGATAAAATAACCACCATCGGCCCGACAGCGACCCTGAATTGTCAATCAGCACGCGTTACATGACGTGATTTTACGGCTCGAATACATATCATAAATCTATCATCAATATGAACACTTGTCAATGTGTCAAGAACTGGATATCGAGTGGAAGGTTCCTCGCATTCAGGGAGGTTCTCCGAGTCACGCACTTTATCGCGCTGATATTTTCAAATTTAAAAAATGGAGACGTGAAAACGAGAAACAGCAATAACCTTTGCTGTGAATTTCATGAACGGGATTTAATAATTTACAGCCGTCCAAAAAAGTTCTTGATCTTATGCCCAAAAAAAAACATAGATCCTCTAAATTTTCTGACTGAAGCTTCAAAAAATCGGTCCCATAAAATGAGCATCGTGATCCGAGTATAGATTATAGAAACGCATTAGTGAATATGGTAATACAGTACAATACATGAAATCATTTCGAAATTACGAAATAACTTCGATTATAAGTAAATCCTTCAATTCTCGATGCTTTCAAGTAGCCAAACCCCAGGCCCAACTTTCGGTTCAATGAGTGGACGCAAAGCAGCTGTATAATTGGTCATATCAGCCGGTTTGTGTTCCTCTAATTGGCTAATTATCCGGCCT